TGTGTGTGTGTGTGTGTGTGTGTGTGTGTGTGTGTGTGTGTGTGTGTGTGTGTGTGTGTGTGTGTGTGTGTGTGTTGTGGCCTTTTATCCACACGTAAATGTCATTTTAGGTCACTGACAATTGAACTTTTCAAAACATACTTCCACAGTGAAGAGTTTCAGAAGTACTGTTTCTGGGTTTTTATGCAGACAAGAGGAAAATAAAGTCTTGGAAAGGTCCTTTTTTTTCAGACCGCGTATTGAGTTATCCTTTGAAAGCTTCAAATTGGCCAATATTTCTGCTGAGTTATGTTTATATCACCACCTGTTGCTTCAGCACACTCCTGACGTCAGTTTTCACAATGTCATGCTGAGGCATATGTTTTTCAAAATTAAATTTGCTCTAATTGTTGATGACTGTACAGAGGATAGAGACATGAATCTTTACAAAGAAATTTATGGGAGAATCTCAAAACGGCAAAGATGTTGGCCGCCCTCAAAATGCCCACCAAATAGTGAAAGAAAAAGAAAGAATAAAGAAAAAGCAAAATCATGACTTCGGATGAAAATAAACTGCCAAATCAAACAGAAAGAAATGTATTTCTACAGCTGTCTCTGCAGAACCTATGTAGGTTAAACACACATTTTTCAGTTGGAATCGTAAGCATTTGAATAGTATTCATAGAAAACTGAAGAATCATAAATACTGATCGAAAATACTGCAGAATTTGTTGATATAAAACATATTATAGCTCAAAGGACTGCACTGAATCAGTCAGCAGGAAAGGGCGAGATAAGGCCTGTATGTTTAATCAGCAGACCCTGTTCTTTTTGAATTTGTCACAAGTAATTTGCTGCCACATCTTTCAGCAGTCCGTCTCCTAGGTGATGCTTATCTGATGGGGAGGGGTTGTTTTAGGAGGTGAAATGATGGGATGCCTTCTGGGTGGTCATTGTCTGTCAAGACAATAACTGCCCTTGTTGCCAAATGAGATAGGGAAACGTGCGTATGCATGAGTGAACAGAGCAGTAAGACGTCAAGTATGACGTCCGAATGAGACAAACTGGTTGCAGGGAACCACTGAAAGCCTGACCTTGATGTAAGTGAATAGTTGCAGAGAGAGTGGGTTTGTGCGATTTTTGCGCTTTATGGGAGGACAAGTAACAGCTTACCCAGCACCAGAGTTGGCCAGTTGGCTATCCTCGCCTTCAGGCCTTGATGAAAAATCTCATGAAGGAACATGATGGTCTCACTGAAGACACGTTGCGAATACAGTGTGAAAACAGAAATGAAAAGAGGTTTCATCTATTTATTTATCTTCAGTCTCTGTCTCTGCTTGTGCACCATGCGTAATTAACACTCCAGAGATTAATTTGCACTCACAGATGGACAAAACATGTTTGTTAATCGCACACATACACACCTGTTGAGGAAGATGCTGCTGACGTCGTCATGGCTGATGGGGGGTTTCTTGGAGCTGGCAGCCATCCTCAAAGGTCTGAGGAAACAGTTGACCAGGATATAGAGCTGGTGGACGTACCTGTTATTCCACACATAGAAACATTTTCAAACATTCAAATTAACCCATATTTTAATGATAATGTCTCATTAAAATAGTATTAATTGGGTGCCAACTTTGTAGTCAGATGATACAATTTCCTTTTATTTTGTTTTTAGCAGAAAGTTATACTCTGGTATACTTGGTTTTATTAATTCATTTGTTAGATTTGTAATTGTATTTTATATTTTTTTACATTGTATATTAGTATGTAGCACCCCCACCACCCCTGCACAATGACGCAGGCTACTGGTCAAATGTCAGCTGTCAATCAACAGTCAACATGTAGCACAGACCAGACTATGAAAGAAAAGCACATCAGCAGGTCGGTAGAGCGTAAACTGTTAGCAGCGGTTCCAGTGCTATAGAGTCCTGCTTTTTGCGTAGGACATTGATGCAAATTATGCTAGCACACGTTTCCAAAAGGCCTGAAGCAATGAGCATCGAGTGATAGCACTGTCACACTGGGAACAGAGGAACTGATAAAATCCACTGACATCCACTTTATTGTGGACTGCATTCATAATTTTCCCAACTTATGTAGTTAAGTCTGTTTAATGCTCCCTGGCAGCACCTGCCAAGCAGACAAGAAACTGATGCTAGAAGGATACAGATACATGAACAGCCAATCGCTGTCACTTATAACCACTAAATTTGAAAGCTGGAAAGAATCCCTCAAGAAAGGTGGGGCATTTTTACGCAGTTTTATTTACATTAAAATGTGTGCTTGAACTAATATTTAATATTGTGCTGTAGATGGCATGTAGAAAAGAAAATGATAGGACCGTGTAGTTTATGCACTCGCTGCTTAAGAAGCAAATAAACAGTCTTTGGATGAACAGGTCAGCTGGTTTATTTGTTTTTTAGGACGTGTGATCAACATAATCTGTCCATGACTTTGGCTAAAATTACGAATCCAGAGAAAATCTGGGTTATTTTCCTTTGTCAATCAGGGTGTGTAAATATGACTGTGATTCACTTTAGATTTGTTAAATCTAAAAAAAACCAACATTAAAACAATATATAAAGTACTCTATATTTATCAGTAGAGTATATATTGTATATATGATATATATACCCTACAGCACAGTTTCCTGAGCTATAGTCGACACAACAAGTGAGATAACATCATGTGCTCTAAGACTTGACAACAGTGACAACTTTTGTGCAGCGTGTGTGACTCGAGGCGTAATGCATTTGCATACTCGGTCTCTGCCTCCACCATATTGAAGACGATCTGGTTCCTCTTCCTCATGCTCTCAGCGTGAGGAGAGCAGATGTAGTCCTGAACAATGATCTTCCACTTCCTCCGACAGAGCCATCCCCGCATGAAACTCTGAACCTACAGATATAAAGACGTAGTAGTACAACAGATACAAATGAAAAAGCTTAGACAAGTTGGGTTATTTTTGTTTTTGTGACTGTACTATATTTATTCATTCACCTTTTTGATCTTTTTGATATCCGGGTCGTCGTTTTCATGGAAGACATGGTAAGGCCGCATGCGCTCCTTAGTTTTGTTCAGAGCTATAATCTATTGGAGAAATTCAGACACAAATATGAGCACAATGTAGATGGTTTGACAAAAAAGATTTAAATTGTTAGGTAAGAAAAATATCCATAAGACTTAATATAAACTTTCCGCTTTTTCTAGAAGGACATTATATTCCTGTAGGAATCACCATTGATCTTTTGTGTGTGCGATAATCATTGTTGGTGTGTTTTCACCAGATAAGCATTAGACTTCCTCATCTTTGACAATCTGCTGCCTTCATTCAGAAAGAGAAAATGAGAGAAGATGGAGGCTCTCAGCTGGTGATGGTAAACAAATTAAGGATTACATCATGCGCCTAATCACCTGAAGTGCATCGTAGGGCACAGAAAGTGCAATCTTCTCCTATTCTAAACGAATCGATATAAAGCATACTAGTCACTTTTTTTTGTCTGATTTTACAGCTGTGAAATACTCAATGCAGACAACAGAGACAGATAAGCCTGTGACATTTACTCGCTGCAGGCAAGAAAAGACAACCACAAAGTTAATGCCATCTTCATTAGCTCTGAAAATGAGGAAAGGGAATGAGCTGGACAGATGCCAGATCTCTTAGTGGAAAAACAGAAAGTCAAATTTCACTACTATACAGAGGACCAGTTTTAAATACCAGAGATGACCAACTTCAAACATAGCCAGTAAAGGATTCTTCCTGCCAACACTACCATCTGTGCAGAAATAAACCCAGCAGAGGTTAGGACGAGCTGTAATACTGGTTTAGCCTCAACTATTTGTTCATACCTTTAGGCTTCTGACAGGCGTCTGACAGTATAAGTTTATTATATAGTGAGTAAAGGATGAAAGATGAAACCCAAAACATTTTCAGCCATAGCGCTTCATCTTCATTTTCTTATTCACTAGCGTGATCATGCAAATGGCAGCAGAGAGGAGCATGTCTGCCAACTGTTGACAGTTACAGTGGCTAGTTGGTTTAATTATTCATAAACACGGAGCAACACACACACACACAAACAAACAAACAAACACGGGTAAGCTTTAATGAGATGGATCACCAACTGCACACTGGCTTTCTCTTTTTCCACGAGCAGTCCCATTGCACTGGCAGATGTTTCTTAACATAAAATTACTTTCTTTCACGTTTTCATTATCAGCCAGACTCCGTGTATCCTGCCAATGACAAATAACACCAGTTGTTTTAGGGAGAAGTATCTGCCACACTTGTTGCTTCGAGGGAGCATTTCAAATAAAATCATCATTAGGTGCTAATTCGCTAAACAGAGTGCTGCTCCTGTCCCAAAGACAGAAATACCATATGCAAGTCAAATGTTTCTGCAAGCGGCTATTGACGCAAAAGAGCAGAGCGCTGTCAAGTGACAATGACAGCAGAGCTTTGATTTGTGGAAATGTTTGCAGCCGGCCCAAATAAGCAAATAACATCGCCTGGGGACAACTGCTGCACAGACAAGAATTCAATTTGAGTCGAGCAGCTGCACAATCAGAATAACTTTACAGTTCCTTCTGGTAATTCTTGTGCCACATAGAAGAATATAGCATTGGGAGAACAGCGCTCCATACATAGCATTCATTTCTTCTTTGATAGAAGAATCATGATAACTTAAATTGTTTAAAAAGGAAAACAATGCAATTACTTTCTCTTTATTTTTACAGGCTGATATTTTCTGAATAAAATAACTATAGATTTTATATCACCTGATACACTACCAGTGAATAATTCTAATGAAATCAAGCATAGCTTAATTCAAGAAGGCCACAGATAACAATTTAGCCACAATGTCAGCTAAACGTTTAGCTCTTGCCCTTTTATGCCATTTAAACTGCTTTAGTATGCCTACTGTTCCCGTGCATATGCAAGTGGCTTTGCAACCCGCCTTTACCCCAGCTACTTCTTTTATGCTTTTTAACTCTTTCCCTCTTGTTTCCTTTTCTGAACTGAGTGTTTTCTGTCATATTTCAGGACTGCTTCTAGAACAAAATGACTGAGTGTGCATCAGAAGTTAGTAACTCCCCATTCCTGTGCAGCTTACTAGGGCTACCCTTGGAAAAATCAGGAATCTGATCCCATCCGAGGGATTTAAAAAAATGTTTTATCTAATCTAATCTATGTGCTGTCTAATCTGTGCTGGGGTCTTGCTGCACCTCACTTTGTTGGAGTTTTCTAGCTCCTGTAATTCTTTCTTATTAACAATGTTGCAGAGGTCACTTTTGTTTTGTATGTGAGCATGGGCATGTGATTTATCGCATGTGGGGTTGGCAGCTGTTTGCAATAAAACTGATGGACTGTCTTTATTGAACAGTGGGCTTCTCTTCCTACGCTCAGAGGTAACTGAAAACCATTCCCACTCACACCTTTCCTGAGAAAAGACACACATAGTGAATACCAGCATGGTCTATGTACGCCCTACATATCTTTCTTTATTGAGTGACTTGAATTGTGATTTAGACTGGGAGGGTAATCGCAGAATTAAAGTTTCTTAACATTTTCTTAAAATCAACTTGGTGGAAGGCTACAATCTGTCAAGAGCAAAATACAATTTAAAGACATAGTGAAAAAGTTAATACAGTTTCCAAGACATAAGACATAAGACTCCTGTACAACTTCAAAAATTGTATGACTCATCCTGAAGGGCATCCAGATTCATCAACTCAAATATAATTTGTGGTGACTACCTAACTCTGCCTATCATATAAAACTGCACTGGCTGTTTTGCTCAGTTGCTGCATAAAGGTATTTGTTTGCTTAAAAATCTTAAAAATCCTTGCTTACAGTTCTTTTGAAAAAGCATGCATGATTTTAAATATTAGAGTCCTTAAGACTTCTGTCTCAAGAAGTCCTAAGAATTTGACAATGCTATAATAGTAAGCTGATTTTAATAATATAGTTCCTAGAGTTCCTTTCAAAGTAACCTGTGTAACAGAATACCTGCCTCCCAGAGCTAGCCTGTCAGAAGTACAGAGTACTGTGTGCTTTTTACTATGAAGACAGCTAGTCCAGAACCCAAGGGGTTATTTTAATAAAGAGGGCAGTTAAATGCAGAGAATCAGATGCTATCTTCTGAATTCTTTGAGATGTACTTGCTGAACTGTATCCTAGAGAAAGAATTTTACAATCTAAAAAAGAAAAAAACATTTCCAACAAAATTCCACAAACAATACAAATTGTCTGTGATATGAATAAAATGTTAACAATTCCACCTTTTAAGGTCTATGTGCATTTGTGTCGAGCGTTTTCACACATGCATAATGTACCTCTGCTTTAAGCCTCTCAATTTCAGTGTCCTGATCTTCTAGCTGAGTGCGCAGCTGATTGGCAGCCACCTTCTCAGTCTCCACGATCTGTACAAGGTGGATGTATTTCTGCATCAGCACCTCTCGTTCGATGATAATGTCAGAGTAACTGAAAAGTTCACAGAGGATAAAATGTCAATATAAACAGCTAAATAATATGCTGAAAACAGAATGTATACAAAAATAAAAAATGAATAAGTAGTCGCATGCATAAAACACAGCAGCTCTCACTGCTTGCTGCTGTAGTTTATATAGTGGGGGAAATGAGTATTTGAAAGAAAAGAATTGAACAGTCTCTAATTTTTATGGTAGTTTCATTTTAATGGAGAAACAGAATATCAACCAAAATCCTAAGAAAAAAAACACATTACATGAATTATTTCACTCAGTGACATGCAAATCAATTTACAACTTTTATGCCTTTTTTTCTGGATTTGTGGTTGATATTCTCTCTCTTTCCATTAAAATGGAACTAACATAAAAATAGAGACTGTTCATTTCTTTGCAAGTCAGCAAACTTGCAAATTCAGCAGGAGATCAAATAATTATTTATCCCATTGATTATTGCTTCAAAGAATAACAAAAATCAATTTATGACTGAAATATATGCTACTGTGTAACCAAAAATGTGTTTTCATTACAAGAGGACCCTGATGTTGAAAAAATCTATAGTAGATAGTATCTAACTTCCCTTTAAAACTGAAGCTCATAATTGTACTCATACATAGGGCACTAGTGCAATTACAAAGCACCAACCACAAAATAGAGGCAATCCCAAGATGCTTTAAAGCTATTAAATATTCTGTAACTTATAATTCACCAAAATTTCAGAATATTGCAAGTTTTGCAGGTCTTATTAATGAGCCCTTTACAAATCCTGTATATTGACCAAAATGGTAAATATATTGTCAGTTACGTATAGTTATGTGTTTCTCAGACTGAATGTTTGAACATTTTAGTGTCTTTTTGACTTGGGCTGTTTACTATATAAAGCTGATACATAAAGGATGACTTTTGTACAATACTGACAAGAGCTGAAAGTGATTTAAAAAATGGCAAAATATTTTTAGAAGTACTCTTTATATAGTAATGTACTGTGCATACCTGGCCTGCTGGATGGCCTCCACCCATTCATCGCACTCACACTCTTCCTCTGTCCGTAGCTCCAGTGGTTTCTGTCCATCATGACCAAACATGATGAGGAAGTAGTGCTGACAGAGAGATGAAGAAGGAAAAAAAGATTTTTACATTATTGTGTCACCCTGAAACTGGACAGAAGTCTTTTTGTTGTACCTTTGCTAATAATACCAATGCTGCAACTTTAAAATATTTCTTTGTATTTGCTTTCTATCTTTTAATTGCACAGATTATTCCCACGTAGAGTTCGGCACACCTTACACTAAGCAGCAATATCTATCCCATAGGGTGGAGAAAAAGGGACACAGTACGGGGGAGGATGGGTGGCTCAGCACGCTTAGCACACAGTTCTCATCTGTTGCTCCCTTCTCCACCAGCCTTTTGCCAATTAGCTCGCTCGTTGCCTCCCTCTTTCCCTTCTCTCGTTTTCTGCCTGCCTCTCTTATTACTCTGATGAATTTCGCTATGTAACTGCCTTCAAAACACTTCCCCACACTTACACACAGACACATGCCAATACATGCAAGTGCAGAGGCACACACCTACAGTAGAGCACACACACACTAGGCATTATGTGAAGTGATAGAGGCTTTTATTCAAATGGTCATGTCCTGGGGCACTGGGTTACCAGAAGAGCTGCTATTCTTAGTCAAGGAAAACAGGGACGACCGAGCTCTGCATTGGCTTTCTCTCTCCTCCTCTTCTCTTCTCTTTATCCCACCACCTCTTTCCTCCTCCCTCTCTCTCTTTGCACTTCACCTATCATCCCACTCCACCTCCTCTGCCCCGCTCAACCAGCATCCTCACTTTTCTTGTTTTCTAATCCCACTCCTCCTCCTCCACATCCCTTCGTACTTTCATCTCTTTGTGTCTCTCAGTAAGGACTCGGTGAACCAGATAGAGTCCAGAGGAGAGACGTTTGCCCTGCAGGAGGATGGTTGGGCTTTGGCCCCTGCAGTGGGGATGAGCTGGGGACTGAGGACAGGATATGTGAACACACACACACTCATAGACCCTCCTCCATTTCTATCCCCCTATCTCAGCTTTTTATGTATCTGTCATTTCGATTCACTGCCTGGCTGTATTTTATTATATCAACAATAATCTGTGCTCTAACAGCCTTTGACAGGGAGAAGGATGGGAGGAGAGAGGAAGAGAGAGACAGGAGAGGGAGGTGTTACATAACATTTCTTAACTGAGTACATATTTCTAAATTGTGTCACAACCCAACAAGATAACATTTCCATGGCAACAAAATATCTGCCGCTGCTGCCTTGTTTTGCACTTCCATTTTCTCCTTACGAGTGCTGCCTCTATTCATTTAAGGCTTTTATTTATCCATCATGCAATTTCAGGCATAAAAGGAAATAGTCTTCAACAGGAAGTGAAACATTGAGCTTAAATCTCTAGATGAATAACCTTTTGCACATCTAACATAATAGCTGTTATGTATTTGACCAACTGTGGCACTATACGAGTCAGATGACAATTCATCTATATTTGCATGCATGCAAATATTTCCACATCATGTTGATTCAAGATCCTTTGATCACACAGATGTCTGTGTTGTTATTTTCACATAGAACAAATCAATGTGCTTTTGACATGCTTGCTTAAATAATCACAGCTTTTAATTAAAGTGAAAGCAGGAACACAACAGTCGAAAATAAAAGTAAGAGTCTTGCATTAAAAATGTTAATTCAATAATTATATTTTCAGCATATAGTAGTTAAATATAAAAGTCTACATATAAGTAACAATCTACTAGTAAACAAACTTAAAGTTGTGTAGTACTCTATTGACTTTTGGACCAGTCGTAGCACCACGGACCTACTGTTTTCCCATTTTTCTTGTTTTGTTCATGAAACATGAATGCGGATGCACAAACGTGATTGGATGGAGAGCGGCACAGTGCGCTTGTAATATGCAAGTTACAGCACAATTTAAAATATTAAAAAGAATAAGGTTTGTGGATGTTTATGTGGAAGGAAGCGCAATACCCTAGTTTCTTAGACTTCAGGCCTTTATAGAGTGATTAGGTGAGAAAAACTGAAGGTAAACATAACTTTTATTGTTTTTAAAAAAAAACCTGTCAGGGCACCTTTAAGCAAAGTATAAATTTTCATGCTCAGTGCAGTTTATATTACATATTATCCTTTTCCCCTTTCAGGCATGTAACTTATTATGCAATACAAACATTGCACTTCTTTGCACTAAATTTCTCTTTGAATGTAATTAACTACCTTTTGATTTATACCTGCTACTTAACAGATCCTTAAGATGGTATGTATGCTTGATATATATTTTTGTATCCTGCCTTAACATTTATATTCTACCATTCTGCCAAGTTTTTTCTGCAACTGTGACCCAATTGTCACCAGGCAATCATTAAAGTTTAATGTTACCGCATCCTTTACAGAAGATTCTGCATCATGCTGGACCCCTAAAGCATTCCAGTGAATTGCTCTGTAACATTGTACTGTGTCCTCATTAGTTGGAGGGATTTTTTAATTTATTTTTTTTTTGAGGACTTGACTGCTTCTACGAAACCTATAAACAAAGCGAGAGCTCTGCACATCTCATGAATGGTACTCTGACTGTCTCTGAGCTATGACCACAGAGCTTCCCAACTTTACAGTACAGATCTGGACTCCTGGCTCAGTCTCCCTTCAAATCGGCTCAAGCGTACCCTTCATCCCTGAGGGCCTTCGTTGTACTGTAAGAAATTTCATTTAGACAAATAAAGACAGCGAGGAAACAAAAGAGAAAAAAGACACTGAGCTTTTTTTGTGCTCTTTCACTCTTTATTTCACTTGCAACCAATTTAACAGTCCCCTGATACACTCTTTAAATCCTGATGTGAGAAACAGCAGAAATCGGGCCGTGACAGCATGACATAAAGTCTATTTTACTTTCACCAAGCAAAGCTTAAGAACAATGTGAGGCAAAAATGTTATTGTGCAAAACCATTTTTCACTTCAATCTTTAAAACTACCTGCTGTGAAAACAGAGGTGAGGAGCTCTTCGAACAAAAAAATGACTTTCACAGTCCAGCACAGCCTAAATGTTGGGGAATGAATGCCTGCCACACACATGTACGAGTTAATAATAGTGCAGATGATGAAAAGCTTTTTCTCATTATTAAAGATTTATGAAAGCTTAAAATGAAATTTGTGTTAATAGATTTATTAGCCAAAAATGGCTGGCGGACCCAGAAATACTCATCTTTTTTAATAAATATTTAAAAGCAGAGATGGCAGAATCACTGTGATTGGGGACTAAAACAGCCAATAATGATGCAACACTACCGTCTGCTTTGGGATCTGCACTGATGAGAGCAAAAATTGCATTTTGCAGCACTACAAATGGGCCTTAGTTTTTCACTTCATTCTAAATATCAGAATTTCAAAGCTATTTTCTGCATCAGTGTTCTGTGCTTCAAAGAGACATTAAACCCCAAACTATTAGAAGTTTTAGCTTCACTGGAGTTAAATTAGTATGACCCCAGCGCAGAAACTCCACAGTCACACATGCTGTAGTATATAACTTGTAGGGTAGTTTGGAATTCATGTCTCAAACACGAAGCCCAAAATACATTGAATTTTATCATGAAAGAAAGGCAGTTTTGCCAGCCTTGCTATCAAAAACCCAATATAATTTCATGACTAGGGTATGAGCCAGTTGTGTTTATGCACAAAAGCACACAACAGGTGTTTGTGATGGTTTCAGCTGCTAGAATAGTGAAGCTGTAAGTAGGTCTGCTTGCTGTTTTTCTAGTTTAACTGTATAAATAACCATTAGCACATCACTTGTTCATTGGTATATGCACAGCAGAAGTGCAACTTGAGTCAAACCTTATTAGGTGGAAAAGTCAAAGTTTTTAAGCAGTTAAAAAATAGAATTGAAATTATGACCATCACTTTAAACCTCTATAAAAACGGAGCTGAATCTCAGACGCTGCGGGCCTCAGCTAGCTGTTAGCATTTATCATAGAAAAAGACTGAAAATTTTTAGATTTTTGGAATTTCCTTTAGACAGACAAGACCTAGGTAGAGGCACTTGTCTATAATGCACACCACCACTTTTGGAGCAAACCAAACACATTATATCAGCACAAACAGCTAATAGCAACTGTCAGTTGGTGTCTATTGTCTATCTGTCCAAAAGCTAAAGTTTGGCTGAAACTGCATCATGCAACAGGACAATGATCCCAGCCACACCAGCACAACTACAGCAGAAAGAAACAGAAAAAAAGGTGTTTCAATTGTGCGGTCAAAATTCAGACCTCATCCAAACCAAACTGTAGTGTGCTTAGTTTTTTTTTTGTTGTTTTTTCGTTTTTTTTGTTTGTTTTTTTTACAGGACTTGGTGGAGTCCTCCCATGACCAAACTTTCTTTTTTAAAAATCAACACTTCATTACATTATGTTGGATGAACCTAATCCAGTAGCTCAACAGAAAAGGTACAGAACATCCAATTCCTAAAAGGATTTAATATGGTTTGTAAATGGTTAACTGTGATGAGTAAGCAGCTGAAAAATGTTTATAAATATCAACACTACTGCTTTCACTTCTTAATCACAAATCTAATGCAAATGTGGCAGCGCAGCTAGCACACAGGTGCACAATTCACAAAAATAACAGCCTCACACAGTGTGTGGAGCTGTGTGTCATAGGACTATCGAAAGCAAACCACTATGCTGAACTTAATTTGGACTTTAGGTGTATGGAAACAAATAATAAAAAAAGAAACCAGTGCCACCATTGAGTCAAAAATGCTACAAGCGCAGATGCAACAGAACAAGCATTCAACCAAAAAAGGAAAATGTAGCTGAGTCTGTGACATGAGAGAAATAAAGAGAAGGGATTGACACGTAGATAATGAGAGAGAACAGTTTTTAAGGAAAACGCTAACAAAGGTTGGCTGAAAAGTGCTACTTAGCTGATACATCTGAAAATACAAGCAGGTGTTTGTCTGTCATTCTATAGACACACTGATTGCATGGCAGAAAGACAAAATTATTAACAAGCAATTTCAGCACAGAGTATAATCTGTCTCCGTTGAGTCTTACTGC